TCCAGGCTATGTTCACTACTCTTGGCCTCGTCGTGAGCGTCTTAGGGGCAATAATTCGCAAGCGAGGTTGTGTCGACGAGGCGGAGCTTTCTCCTTCCTCACTCGTAAAAGCGTCGGCGTCGAGGGCACGGGTTTTTGCCCGGAGTGCTACAGTGAGAACGATGACTCGTTTCGGTTCTTTCAATGGTGCGGATACTCGATGGCTCAGCGCCAAGCTCAGACGACACCTCTTCTTCAAGTGGACGAAGAGGCTATTTCGAAGCGATACCAACAATTTCAAGCGATATGGGCAGAAAAGGCCTCTGCCCCAGCCGGTCGGCCACATGGGCTTTGTTCAGCAATTTCCTAGCGTCTCGAAGGAACGGCTCTGTTTGTATTGAGAATACACAACCAAAAGATGTGGTATCATAGAGTTTCTATGCTGGTTGGACTCATGCGGTACTAGGAGACGTACGGTGGTGCATGCTCGACACTGCGAAGCAGTGGGCACAAAGGACCTCACGACCTGTTCAACGGACAAAGGAGACTGTAACCTTAGGTATGCCTTTGACTCACTCCGAACAAATCACGTCTCCAAGTTATCCATGGTGTTCGAGAAGGAAATGGGGATGGTGACGCCGTGGAGTAAGACCATGCGGGTCGGTAACCCGGTGAAGAGCGAACTAGTTGCGCAATATATGGCGTTCACCACGAGTGAGCAAAAGCAGGCGGGAGTATTGGTGTAGCAAGCGCCGGTGAGCCATCTGGAGAAGATCATTCTTCCAATGCAGATCCGGCTTCAGTACGCCTCGTCTGACGTCGAGCGGATCACGTTGGCTAGGGGCATTGCGTTCTTTTCGGTAGCTTTTAGCACGACCAAGCGAGCGGTGGAGCATACAAATATCCTCATTCAGCGCATTTTGCGGCTCCCAAATCGGAGCGGTCTCATGTGCAACTTTCAATGGGGGAAAGCCCAGCGAGATGGCGCGGATCATCTCCTAACCGTACCGTATGATGAGGAATACGTGGCAATCTGCCCGGTTCGAGCGATGGAGCGGTTGGTCGCAGTGCGAAAACAGGTCGGATGGGACACAACGTCAGGGTACCTCTTCCCGGACATTTCGGAGTCTCGGCAAGGTCGAGCGCAGAGAGGCAGTTTGCCGGTGACTACTAGCAAGATGTCTGAAGCGCTGAGACGATACACTACGGAGGTAGGGGAGACCCAACGGTTCTCTTTACACTCCTTTAGGTCGGGAGGGGCAGTTTCCAGAGCTCTCGCGGGGGACTCTCTGTCGACTATCATGCAGAAGACGTATTGGAAAAACCCGAAGACGGCTTGGCGATACATGAGGCTCATGGAGGTGGTAGCTTCAGGATCGGAGGGTACAGCTATGGTCGAAGGAGTTTCAGAGGACCAATACAGGCAGCTGAATGAGTTCGGTTTGAGTGAGCAGAGCTGGTCCTTGGCAGCGTTTAGCAATAAGCCTCTGCTATAGATGGTCTCATGTGTTAATTTGAATTACCTTATTTCAACCATGATCTCAATACCTCTACATTCATCAGTTAGTCAAGTATGGGATGAGAAAACTCACCTCGATCGAGTGCGTTTCCTAAGTAAGGGAGAAGTGGACACACCGACCGCGGGAGGTGATGCCACTGTTTGCATCACATACTATCTGAGGAGAAGAACTGACTCGAAAATACCGATGGATTCTCAAAACCAGAAATGAAGAAAGAGGAACGATTTCAAAATTATCCAGACATGAAGAACCAGAACACAGGAGGAGGAAGAACACCCTCTCACTTCCTTTTATCAAACCTGTTCAAAACAGGAAAACAGAGGAAAAGATAACCTCCTTTTGAGACACCACCCACCCGCCCAAGGATGATTGAAGCTTACTCCAAGTTCATTTCGATTCTGTTTACGGTCAATTCTTCTTCGAAAAATACAATCGCAGCGGATGGAAAAAACTAAATATCGATGTTTGTTTCGGAAAGCATTTCTCCTGGTCACATGTATTTCTTTCCTTTCGCAACGGAGTGGCAACACCAACCTCTGCGGCAGGCGATGCCACTGTTTGCATCCCATACTATTCTGAGGAGAAGAACTGACTCGAAAATACACACCTTCTTCCCCTCGCTGCCTCGGGAAGGTTTTGCGTAGGCATGACCTGTAGCGAGGGGGGGGGTCTTTCTAGCGAGCAGGGCTAGACTCACCCTCAAGGGACCGATACCTTCTTGCTGCGGCGCACCCGCCGCGAGGAGTGCGTAGTGGTGGAGTTGGGTCGGCACTGGTGCGTCAGGTACAAAGTTGCAGATGCGCCGGCCTCCAGGGCGTCGGTGTAGGCAGCAATGCCCATCTCATCTTTGTGCGCGGAGGCAGACGCCATCAGAAAGGTGGACGGGCACCATTNTAGTGGTGGAGTTGGGTCGGCACTGGTGCGTCAGGTACAAAGTTGCAGATGCGCCGGCCTCCAGGGCGTCGGTGTAGGCAGCAATGCCCATCTCATCTTTGTGCGCGGAGGCAGACGCCATCAGAAAGGTGGACGGGCACCATTTACACGGTCCTAGGTTTGCTAGAGGGAGCTGTACTGTCTCAGTAACCTGGTTTTGCCATCAAAGGAGGAGGGGACAGGTGGTGACGAACTGATTGGGCTGGTTGACCCTTCGGCGCGAGAACTTTCAGACCAAGAACCCTAAGTGCAACGAGGGAGAAAGCGAGGAACCGACTGGGAAGGGGAGCAACGAGAGCGTGTACGAAGCGGAGCAGGTCGAGTTTGGTCGTGCTAGGACTGGCCACAGCGGCACCGGAGCAGCGGCACCGGAGCATGCGAACGGCATCGAACCGTGGCGCACGGATAAACATCTGTTGTGTTGTCAATTATTTTCGGTTTTTTCCTGAATTAAGGTGTTGGATGTGTGTGTGATGACGTCACTGGTTTTGTAGAGAGACGCGGCAAAGATGGCGGGGATAACCCGGGTGTCGTAATTGTGTACCTGCATCGTGGAAGACCCCTTCAATGCGGAACGATTCCTAGTCAGTGTCGACGCTTACACTGCTGTGCCTAATACAGACGATCTGGATAGATTCGTGTGATTGTCAATTGCAATGATGGCTTTGGTTGGGTGTTCTTCATTGTATGTCCACGGACTCATTTTGCCAGCACTTCAGACAGCAGCTGCATGCCCCGAGCTTGTGTACCATGCACCAGGTGTTGTTATTGTACAGACAGCACTTCAGACAGCAGTACGCTGTAGTCGACAAACATTCATTTAGACGAGGGGGGTGCTGCTGCTGTAGTCGAATTGTAGTGTGTGGGCGTGTAGTTCACTTGTGAGCACGCAAATGTGCTGCAGGGATTGTAGGTGTACCTCCTCGGGCTTGTGTACCCTTTTCTTGCTAATAGTGTATGTGTTCATTAGATCTTCTGATGGCTCTAGCACTTTTGTGACCACGGACCGAGTGCTAGATTTTGGGATTAGCAACTGACACGAGTTTAATGTGAAGAAACACAACAACAAATAAACTGATGGATTGCGGTGAGTTGGGGATATTGCATGTAGACCTACATAGCTTACCCCACCACCACCCTCGATCTCGCTCTACAAGACTCCGATCGACTCATAAGCACCGTTAGGAGTTTGTCGTTGACGCACACACAGCACACAGCAGCGGGCAGCAGCTGGGCAGGGCGGGCAGGAGGGGGGGGGGCAGGTGATACAATCTCTCCGCACAGCCCCCATACTGCTGTACGCACGTGAAAATGGGGACTCGAAAATCGCTATTGTTGTTGTTGTTTCTCACATTAGCTCTAAAAAAGAAAGATGGGGAGCCCGTGGTCTCAAAACCCGGCATACACGACCCCACGAAGAAACAGAAAAAAGTAGGGTACAAAAACCACTCGGAAGAGAAACAAAATGATAGAAAGAAAGACCAGCTACCGCACCAAACGAAAAAGAGCGTCGAGGAGACCGATCAAAATAAAATAAAAGGAGAACGGGGAACGCTTCCCACACCCGCCTACAACGCCGGAGGGTTCCGTGCCGGGTTCCCGCCGACCAGGCATCCCCCGCCCTGCACCACACCCCAGGGGGTGCAGCGAGACGGGGGGCGAAAAACAAACACATATATATTCCCACAAAAAAAATAAAAAATCGAAGGACAACGTACACCAGTACCAGGTACTACAGCAGTGCAGTATGCACCAGCGCATTAGTGTAGGGTAGGCACCGCACGAAAGAGGCAGCAGCTGTGGCAGGCAGCCAGCAAAGGAAAAAACAAAAATAACAAGGAGCTCGAGGTATCGTCCAAGATCATCGTAGAGAGGGCATGGAGAACAAGAAAGAAAGAAAGAAGAAAAGCACAAAGAGAGGCCGGAGGCAATACTAAGAGCATACAGCTTACGGCAGGGAAAAGGGAACACAGGGTGCGACAACATCATCAGTTGGGTACGTCGTTCGCCGCAAGCGCGGCCTTGGCCGCCCTACTCGCTTCTACAGCAGCTATTATCTACTTGCGAACAGCAAGCAGCGAGAGTACCACACAGCACCTCTACAGTAGCAACCTAAAATTCAAGAGATTCAGTGATGCCTACGGCGGGTGCATTTCGACCAATGCCGCAAGCATTGACAGATGGCCGCGAAGGCAGCATTGGAGGACATACCGAATTTCTTCGGGGTCTTGGGTGGATGAACATCTGTAGCAGCAGAGGCGCCTCTGGGCTGCGACCCAGCTTCCTGCTATATTGTCCACTCGCCATGGGTGGCAATGCCTTCTTTGTCTTCGCGGGGTCTTCTTTGTGACGGTTGTACAGAGCCCAGCGAGTATGACACCAGGCGCAACCCTCGTAATCGGTTGGCGTTTTGCTTGCGTGGGAGGAGTGCCAACCGCCAGGAATAGCTCCCCCGGGTTGTCCGTAATCCGAGCTCAGTTTGAGACCCACACAGTTTCGCTCATTTACGGAGATCTCGTAGAACTTCCACCTGTACATCTTCCGTCATCGTGGTCCATCCCCCCTACATCCGCCTCAAGTATAGCAGCGACGCGTTGAGTATTTACCCCAGATCTCTGGTCACGCCTATCCTCGAGACTCGGGCTTCATTTCCAAGGCAAGTTGAACGTCCGCACGGCAGAGCGGGCTCCTCGCCGTCGCGATTCGCGCTAAGGGTCTTTACTTTCCTTCCGTTGTGTGGACGGTCCGAGCCAGCATCCCATCCCAACCTGAATCACCGTATTTCTGACTGCTCAACGGCGTCCTTGTTTTGGGGTGAGTGTTGCGCTTCCACAATCGGGGTGCATGTAGATGCAGGATCAACACCACGGAAGAAGAGAACAAACACAGAGCAGCAGCAGCAGCAGCAGCAGCAGCAGCAGCAGTAGAAGTGCAAGGGTTCTTGTCCACTGCTGCCTCTGCTGCTGTCCGGACCACGCGTCACGGTGTTATCCTATGCTGCTGTACGGCGGAGGAAGACGGTAAGACATTCCGTCCTCTACTGTAGACTAAGAATATTGTAAGGTTCTCTGAACGTTGGTGGATCGCCAAAACAACACGACACAAACGCCTTATTCCTCCTTGTCTCGACTTCTATGGTCGCTGTCCTCCAACTATGTAGATAGAACGGTGGACATCACGCCGACGAGGACCTCTGTAGGTGTTATGCGTACAACCGCCGTTGAGGTTGGGTTGTTGATGTACAATTGTGTCGCACACCGTAAAAAAAAGACTGACCGCTTGAGAGATAGGCCGGCGATCGAAGGGACACGCACGTTTAGTCCAGTAGGGATGGTAACACACGACCGCCTCTACGGGGAAGTACCATTAACGTCAGCTTTCCTGGCGTGCCAAGTCTCTGCTTATTTGCAACAACGGAGAGTTGTCTTTGTTTTACGGTTGCACCAGCAGCGGAGACTTACAACAACAGCTCCATTTTCTAATGCGGTAGTCGGTATTTGACAGCACCCTTCAAAGATCCACGCAGAGGCGGATGCAAAACAAGAACTTCCTCGCCGTCGAGGCAAAGCAATATCGGCTTCCAGCAAGGAGGACTACCCTCTCTAAACAAGCGTAAGCAGGCCATTATTTGTCGCTCGCTGTGTTTGGCAACATAGAGAGCGTGACGCGCCCGATCTTGGTGCTACTGCTGTATGCTGCTGCTGCTGTTCCACTGGACCGCTGCTGCTGCTGCTGCTGCTGCTGCTGAACCCTTCATGTAGCATAATGTTGTCATGACCTATAGCAGTACATACGTACATTTACAAGTTTCCGGCGCCCTTTCGTTCTTGACCAGCTGTGAGCCACGGTTCAGTCTACAGCAGCGCGGATTGGTCTCCATTGTGGTTCGATTTCGGCGTTGGACTCGTCTATGCAGTATCCTTTTTTTTTTCGCCCGAATCAACCCCCAAAATACGCTGCTGTGCTGGCTGCTGCTGTAGTTCAGCGCTCTGTAGTTTCGCGCTGACTATTATACATGGTTTGATTTCGTTTTCTTTATACGATAGTACGTCGTCCGTTCACGTATATATCCAGCAGTGTGAAAAATCCGCACACCTCAGCATCAGGACGCCCCGTCACCACGCCTTTCTTTCCACACTCAATGAAGGGCGGGAGGGGGCATATTTCATGTATTTGTTCATTTAATACTGTACTGCCATGTTTTTATTAGTGGTCAATTCCCCGTTAACCGGCTTACGGGTTTCAGCTGGCGCCACGTAAGAGTCCGAGGGTTGGCACCGGCAAAATGTCCACGGACTCATTCTGACAGCACTTCAGACAGCAGCTGCATGCCCCGAGCTTGTGTACCATGCCTACCATGGTGTTATTATTGTACAGACAGCACTTCAGACAGCAGCTGCATGCCCCGAGCTTGTGTACCATGCCTACCATGGTGTTATTATTGTACAGACAGCACTTCAGACAGCAGTACGCTGTAGTCGACATTCATTTTGGTTAAATGCGAGACAAGGGGGGTGATGCTGCTGCTGTAGTCGAATGGTAGTGTGTGTGGGCGTGTAGTTCACTAGTGAGCCGCAAACGTGCTGCAGGGATTGTAGGTGTACCTCCTCGGGCTCGTGAACCCTTTTCTTGCCAATTGTGTGTGTGTTCATTAGATCTTCTGATGGCTCTAGCATTTTTGTGACCACGGACCGAGTCTTTGCTAGGTTTTGGGATTAGCAACTGACACGAGTTTAATGTGAAGAAAACAACAAACAACAACCGGCGGACCGGCGGGTGGGATTGCAATTTTCAGAATATTGGCAGTAGGCTTAATCGGTACCGTGTGTAAGCACATATATGTATCGAGCGGTACAGGAAACACACCAAGCAGGCACAGTGTACACATCGGCATCAGGTCAAGTTTTTTTACGTAAGAGTCTGCCTTCCATCGAGATGCCATGGACGATTTTTGTGAACATCCCCAACAACTGCAATCGATTCACGTTCAAGCCATCTGTTGACTTTTGGCATCCAGGACCGTTTCCAGGAACGCTCCTATTTTACTAGAGTTACGTTTCTTGTTCTGAACAATCAAGCTCCGGCCCGATACATAAAAGTACTGCCCGTGCCATAGTGGCCGTAGTTGTGCGTGTCATGGCTGGAGTGCGCGAAAACAGGCCCGAAAATGGCGCCGGGGTGCGAAAAAATGACCAAGAACGGCATGATTTTGTTGCCAGTACGTACCGCACCGGATCGTTGTTATTGCACCCGGTATGATATCAACCATATATAACGTGCTTCGGACGAAAATTTGTGTGCTTCCGGAAGTTACCGGTACCCTTTGGGCCATTCTTTGAACTGCATGTAACGAACAGCTGTGCGGGCGCCATTCCTTTTATGAAGCTGTCTCTCCGACTTAAATTGATTTTTGTCGCAGACCCTCTTATTCCGATTCCCCTACCGTGTCTCGAAAGCCGATCTGGACCTATGGCGCACGTCTCGCAACATCCCAACCATGCGTCGGTAGGGCATCGCAATTCATGGCCCCTCGCCAAGTTCCATCGCTTTCGGCGCCCGGTAGCGCACGCCACAAGAGTGGACGGCCATGTACGACCATGCGCGCTATTTATCTCTGGTCTTGACCGTTTCGCCGTGTGCTTGTTTCCATCGCTCTTGTGGTCTTGAAGAGAACGGATTCCGAAAACATCAAATCTCAGGGTCCGCTTGGCAGCAAACAACAGACCAATCTCCGACGCACGTCTTGCGATATCTTGAGAATGCCTTTGTAGGGCATCGCGCGTCACCTGGCCGACTTTCATCACCCTTCGCGCGCAGTAGCATGCACCACAAGTGTGCGACCATGTGCGACCATCCATGCGTTTCTCTGGTTTGCCGTCTTCCCGTCTACCTCCTCCATTAAGTATTTTGATTTCTAAAACTCAACAAACCCATCTCTTCCAGACAAAGAGTCCTGGAAAGTAGCAATGAAAAGTCGTATTTGCTCCTTGCCTCATTTAACAGTTTCACAAATTTGGCAAAAATGCAAGAATTGACTTTCTCAACGCCCGTATGTGAGCAACCAACGGTAAGGGCCGTTTTAAACGGACCGACTTTTTTGTCAAAATTTTCGACATTTGTCTTTCAAAAACTTGGAACCTGTGTGCAGTCATTTTAAACGTGTGACGTGGACTTGTGCAACTTGTGTCAAAAAAAATGACGCCGTCCGTGAGTTGTAGCGCTCACTTCGAGACAACACACACGACACAACACAAACCGCGGAAAACACGACATCATGGACACCGACATGGATATCACGACCACCCAGCGTGGCCGGCAGACCAAAACCCCGGCGAAATTCCAGCAGACGGGCTCTCTCGGTGCCGCCGTAGGCGGTGGAGGCTTGCTCTCCAGCAAGATAGTGCTGCTGCCTGGCATCTCGGGGAACACTCATGTTACCACGGGAGGCGCTGCCGCCACCAACACTCAGAGCGAGGGTGGAGCAGGCCGCCGGCGAGGGGTGGCAACCACTGCTCCTACCCCCCCGGGAAAAGGAAAAAACAAAGCGGCGGACGCGAAGCAACAACTGCAAGCCATCATGGCGGACCGCCGGTTTTGTTTTTTTTTTGCGCTTGCCCGTGGGCGAGGAGAGCCGCTCAAATCTGTAGGCGCGCCGCGCTTTCTACGGTCGGCCATGACTCACACACAACCCTAGCTGACTTTCTACGGTGAGGGGCACTCGTGGTGCAGACGCAGCAGCCCTCGCGTGCCTCTACAAGGGTAATTTGGAAAGTGCTCCAAATACTTTGAGAGGGTTGTCAAAAAGTTGGAACGAAGTGGAGCAAAGTTTTCGCGCCCAACTTCGTTCCAAATATTTTTGAAAAAATGGACAAACGCCTACATACAGGTTCCATTTTTTCGACACTTTCAAAAATTTTGACAAAAAGTCGGTCAGTTTAAAACGGCCCTAAGATGTTCAGCGCACGTGGTGGCTTAGTAGTAAATGAACGTGTGCGTGACATAGTGCCAATAAGCCATGATACGACGAAAGCGCACACGGTGAGTTGACGAGCGAATAAGTTGCGTGTTGCGAAGTGTGCCATTATGCGCGCTGTGTTGGTGTTTCGGTCCTCTTGACCCAGTAGTATACGCAGCAACACATGGGCTACAGTATTCAATCCGTGCTTCAGGGGTTTGGGTAGGGATTGACCGGTTCGCCTTCACCTTCCTGTCTTGATCGCGCCTTTTGGCTTCTCGAACAAATTCGGAAAAACTCAAAACTCAGGGTCGTCGTGGCAGCAACCAACGGCATCATCATGTTCATTTCAGAGGCGGTTAAGACATGAAAACGTGTGCGGGCCGAGAAAGTTAAGTTACCGACTCGACCTAGAGCCAATAGGTCATGGTACGGCGAAAGCTCATACTAGCGCCGATGCGCCACCATGCTGCATACGCCAGAAATGTGCGACATATACGACCATGCGTGCTATTTCTCTCCTTTTCACCGGCTGGCCCTCGTCCGGTCTCTTATCGCTCATTTTTTTGTCATCGTCTCGAATTTGTCTTGAAAAAAGTCATCTCATCCAGGGATTCAGATGGATTCATTCGGTGCGCCAGTCTATGATGTTAACAGTAAGAAATACCAACCTGTTGTCATCATCAGCAGCAACAGTAGATGTTCTTCGTTGTTGGATAGAAGTATTTTTTGTACCCTTTCTGTTTTTTTTTTTGGTCCATGTACATGTAGGTACTTCCTTTGGATGGCCCGTGGCCACGTTACAAGGGAGTAGTGGTGTGACACACTGACTGAGCAAGGGTAGTGTTTGACCACAGCAACGAACGGTGACCGGCGATTTTCTCTACGTGTAGCACCGCACCCCTTGTTTCTTCGACAGACAAGCGTCCGCTGTAGATTACCAATAGGTTCGTTTGCAGTGTGTACGGTGACCAACTTGTTTTCATACGGTCTCGTTCCCCGAGCAACCGTCGGTTCGTGATCGGATCGACAACGCAGTGCACTCAGCCAACAGCTGAATAAACCCGCAAGAACAAATCAGCTTCAGACAGACAACGCCGATGATACTCGTCGCGTTTATTGTATCACAATATTTGACCTGCTTCGGACGAAAATTTGTGTGCTTCCGCGAAGTTACCGTTACCCTCCGGGCCATGTTTTGAACGGCATGTACCGAACGGCTGTGAGGGCGCCATTCCTTTCAGGTACATGCGTAAAGAATAACAACATGTATCCATATATATATGGTTCCGTCGAGGTGACGAGGTGTGCGCGTAGAAATTGCCGCTGCTGTGGTTCTTGGCGCGTCGCACCCATCGGTGCAATCTCACCGGGGGTGCGCGTTGGAAATCTGGAACGAATGATTTTGTTGGATTTCCGCACCGGTGTCCGCGTAGTGACACCCATCGGTGTGATGGCACCGGGGTGCGATAGAAGGCCAAAAGAAGAATGATTTCAAGAACGATTCGGACCCCCGTAACCCGACAAACCCAACTGCGATATTACGATATATTCTAATAGAGCGCGTCAAATGATTCCTCTCGTCAATCCTTGTAAAGAATTTTTAATCTGTTTGCGGAGAAAACGTCTCTCTCCGTGAGATCGACGTAGCTGGACGAGGCGACCATGAACCAACGCCGTTGTTTCACGTCAGTTGTTTTTTTTCAATCGCTACGCAAGCTACGCAAAACTCGAACGACAATTTGTGGACAATTTTTTGTGCATGGACCTTACCACAATGCGTCTTGAAGACGCGCTTCACCGTTATCAGCCGGACTGACACTGGCGTATGTATTCTTCATCAGTTAGTGTGGTCGATGCCATTGGTAAAGAGACACGTACACGCGCACTCATGACCTTACTTTGTAGAAGCAGGTTGTGTGTTTTCCGCACGGAGACCGACGTCTGATCATTGGTCAGCCGCGTAGCGCGGTCGAAGCTAGGTACTGTAGCAACAGAGACACACACACACACGATTTTCCCCCCTGCTGCTGGTGCTGTTGGTATTTCCCAGCATACCGAGTGCTGTTACGTAGTGACACGGCGGTTTATCCTACGGTCCCCAAGGGCCCTCCAAAATCCGGTCTCCTGACTGCGAAGACGTTCATCCCGATCACGAACAATTTCATCTAATCAGTTGCCCTCCCGACCATCCCTTTTTTTTGCTCTTTCGCTTTCCCGAACGAACGCTGACTCGGTCTGCAGCAAAAGCCACCTTGTGAAAGTCGAAGCGATGGCAAGGGTTTCCACAACTTTTGGCTCTGGCGGCGTTGTCGCGGCCGCTTCGGCGGCCCTGCTGCTGCTGCTGCTGGCTCTGCCACAGGGGTCGCGCGCTCAGCCTGGCGGGGGCGGGGACGGGGGTCCCCCCGGTTCTACTTCTAGCGCAACCGTGGAGTGTGCAACCGATGGTACCGACGCCCACTACGAGGAGTTCCTAGCGTGAGAAAAATAGAGAGCATGGCTATGGGGCGCGCGCGGCTGCTGTTTTTTGGCATGTATACCTGGGGTGTTTGTTGTACTGACTCGGCCTCGAAAAACAAGTGGTTAGTGGGTGCGGAGCGTAGCGGAAGCTCGAACACTTGCTCAAGGCTTTTTCTTGGTCTCTTTCCCTTGAAGCTTTGTTGCGTACGTACGCGCCTACCAGGAATGAGATCACGGGCGTGCAATGGCGAATCGTTGCGTACGGGCTAAGAGAGCGTGCCCGTCCTCCGACCACGTTGTCACCCCCCCCCCCCCCCCCCCCCC